GCTGCCAAATTACCACATCTACAGAAGGGACGAGGTCACTTCTCAAGGGGCTGCCTATAGAGGGACGGCGGTTCTAGTGAGGAGGGACATCGTCCACCAAGAGCTGGAACTACCATCCTACCAGACAATGCGCTCAATCGGCATAAGAATGGAGGCGGCGGGCGAGGAACTAAGGATCTATGCAGCATACCGCCCGCCAGGGACTCCATTCTGCTCCTCAGACATCCGGACGGTGATGGAAGGCGATACACCTGTAACATTCATCGCCGGGGACCTGAACGCCAAACACCCGGCGTGGGGGTCCAGAGTGATCACCCCGCCGGGTCTTGAGCTATATGAAGATGCTGAGAAGAACCAGTACGACGTTCTAGGTCCCGAGGAACCAACTCACGTTCCTACTGACCCAAGGAGGCACATCCGGATGTATTGGACATCGTGCTCACTAGGAACGTCAACTATCCGATAGTGGTAGAAGTGCTGTACGACCTTCCTTCACAGCACCTCCCGTTACTGATAACCCTTGGCTTAAAGGCGGTGACTACGCCGCCCAGAGCTTTTAAGACCCGTGTCGACTGGAGGCTCTACTGTCAACACCTTCAGCAGAGACCTCCAGCACACCATCCTATAAGCACAGCGGACGACGTAGAGGCCGCTGCAACTAGAATTATCAACAACATCAAGGAAGCCCTCCACGCGGCCTCTACGGTCGTCACGATTACAGCAAGGCGAGACGATCTGCCGCGTGACATATGCGTGCAGATCAAGCGCAAAAGAGCGCTAAGAAAGCTCTGGGCGCGTACTCGCTGTCCCAGAATTAAGACACAGCTGAACACCTTATCGGAGGAACTGTCGGTTGCAGTCCAGGCCTTCAGAGGAGAGGCCTGGGATCGGCGCATCCGGAAGGCGGAAGAGCAAGATGCGTCGCTCTATAGACTGAACCGGCAGTTGACCAAATCCAAACCTCCCGTTTGCCCGCTGACTGATAATACGGGCGAACGATGCTACGATGCCAAGGGCAGAGCGGATATCCTAGTCGAGCACTTCGAGGAGCAATTTATGCCGAATACAGCAAGTGCGGAGTTTATGGAGCTTCATGCCCGGAAGGAAAGTCGCGTACAGGAGTTCCTGTCGTCGCCCGCGCCGCCTCTTGCAGGAGAGTGGTTCATCTCCCCCCGCTGAACTGCGGAGGACAGTAACCTTCCTGCAACCGAGGAAGGCGCCGGGGCACGACGGGATTACCAACGCTGCACTCCGACAGCTGCCCAATAGAGTCATAGTAGAGCTTGGTCGACTCTACAATGGGATATTGCGGACATCCCACTTCCCGGAGGACTGGAAAAAAGGCAAAATCATCGTCTTGCCGAAACCCGGGAAGGACAGGCGTAGAGCTGCCAACTACAGGCCGATCACGCTATTACCACATATAGCTAAACTGTTCGAAAGATTGCTGCTAAGACGTCTCCGTCCGTGCATCCAACTTCGGGCGGAGCAGCACGGATTCAGGAGGGGTCACTCTACAGTCACACAGCTGACTAGAGTGCTGCACCTGCTTGCGGCAGAGTACAATCGTGGCCGCATATCGTTGGGCGTCTTTCTCGATATCGAGAAGGCGTTCGACCGGGTGTGGCACGCAGGATTATTATACAAACTGAAAGAACAGACCAGTGTCCCTCTTGCTATGTTGCGGTTAATGGCGTCTTTCCTGGAAGACAGGAAGTGCTACGTCTGCGTAGAGGACGCCGAGTCCGCAACCAGAACCATCAGAGCCGGCGTTCCACAGGGCAGCTGTTTGTCTCCAGTCCTGTACGCGGCTTACACCAACGACATACCTACACTGGCAGGCAGGCTTCAAGAGTGGGAGGACGACGTTGAGCTGGCGCTATTCGCGGACGATAGCGCCTATTTCACCTCGTCCAGAAGAGCCCACATAGCCACTGCCAAGATGCAGCGTCTGCTGGACCTGCTGCCACCATGGCTGGATGAGTGGAGGATGGTCGTCAACGTTGGTAAGACGACCGCTCTGCTCACTCGCCGTCTCAGGAAGTTTCCACCTCCGCTGACCCTCAACGGCCAGAAGATTGCGTACCAGAAGGCCGTAACCTACCTTGGGTGCAGGATCGACAGGACGCTGCGCATGACCGCGCACGTCGACTTCGTCGTCCGCCGGGCCCGATGTGCGCGGGCGACGCTCTTGCCGGTCCTGGCATCCAAGCTGTCCATACGAACCAAGCTCCGGATATACAAGATGTATATCCGGACCATCATCACTTACGCTGCACCGGCCTGGTACGCACTTCTGAGCGACCCTCTGAGGCGGCGACTACAGGCCCAGCAGAATCTGACATTAAGGACGATCGTCGGAGCAGGTCGCTACGTCCGGAACGACGTCATAGCGGCCGACATGAAGATCGAGAACATCACCGACTTCGTGGCCCGGTTAGCGCGCGGCATGTTTGACCGTGCCGATAACGGGCCACATGAACACCTTAACGGCTTTGCGCCGTTACACACCCGGCCACCGGACGGGCGACCTCTTCCAAGAGAACTCCTCTCTATATGTGATTAGAGAGTTGAGTAACAACCCACAATGCCGCAGAAAGGCCAACTCAGACTCACCAGATAACCACCTTTTTCCGTAGTCGGATAACTACGGAAAAACAATTTACCGCCACCACGGAAAAAACCCGTGTCTGCTATCGAGCCTAAAATAGGCTAAAGGACTGTCCCATAGTAATGGGATATGAGGACACCCGGGCAATGGGGGATACCCCGAGGCCCGATACCTGCATTGTCCCCGGACATTGTAGACGACATTCAACATACAAATCGTTACCGCGAAAAAGTGCAAGCCTTTCCACCAAAGCGCCCAGGACCGGTTGTAGGTGCCTTGAGGAACATCCGGGTAAAGGGGTACACCCCGAGGCCCGAGACCTGCACGGCAGAGGACAACAACGACATACAAATCGTTCGGGACCAGCTACCAGTATATAATATAATCAAGAAAAAAAAGTATACAGGGAAGTGATAGGGAAAGTAATTACTCTCCCACGGAACGGTTTGAAGATAATTACTGTTTTATTCCCAAGGGATCTTTCACCTTTAAAATAAGTACAGTTCATTGGTGTCGCTAGCGCGGCACATATTGAAGAATTAAGGCGTTGGGACCGGGACGACCTCGGAAGACCCGTAATCCCCGCCTGAACCTATTTGAAGAAAAAGAAGAGGTCGACGCCCTTGTGTGTTACTCCGTTGCGGGGTTCACATACGTTGTTCCCGAACCCAACGTAGGTGTCATAGGAGGTTAGGGAATCCGCTGCTGAACGAGCCGTGACAAAGACCCTTCCCTCGTTCCTGTCCTTTTTCACTTTGTCATGTCCTATTAAAAATCCTTAAATTCGCAAAAAAAATTGTGAGTATGGGTGGGCAAAAAAACTATCCTATCTCTCAAGTGTGACCAAACTGCACACGGTGTGCTTAAAATCGGTTACGTTACGTTACGGTTTCAAATGTAATACACATTATATTAAATTAATATCTCGCAAGTAATACATATTATATTAAATTAGATTGCTTAGTGCGATTGCCAAGTCAATCTATATATTTAAAACATAAAAGATTTTTAACATTGATATGGTTACTATAAAATGTTGTTAGGTTAGCTAATTACGTAATAACTTAAAACAGAAGGACCCTTAACCTTTCTATACCCGCGCCAAATATTGTGACACCTATACCCGCGCACGGTCTCATAGACCGAAAGTTCGGAACCCAATTTCATGGTATTTTTTCAAGAAAACGTATAATGAAATTACGTTTTCCTAAAACTAGGGAGTATCAGGTTAATAAAAATAAAACAATTTATCGACAGTATATCATTTATTTACTGACTAACAGTCTTTTATTACCGTCTCTGGAAAATAAGAAGTTTTTCATATGAGCTATAAAAATGTAACAAAAATATTTTTTCTTCTTATAATAAACTAAAACAAACTTTAATCTTAATTATAACAAGTAAATTAACAGTAAACTTACAACTATTCTTAAGCAGAAGTTCCACTATAGCAGTCAGAGCATAACATAAGCGCGTGTTCCATACAAAAATAAATTTTACATTTTACGCAGTTATAACGCGTCTTACGGTTCTTTTTTGACGTGCAAAATGCACAACGGCCGATTTTATTATTATTAGATGTTGCTGCAGACTCAGGACAATCTAATTTACATATTTCATTGAGCCGTAACTTTAGAGTTTTTGGCAATGACGTGTTGGCCGCCCGTCTCCTGAGATGCGAATTTATGAGGTCATAGGACAAAGCTTCCAGAAAAGTTCTAAGGTAACTTTATTATTGGGATTGTTTTGCAGGTATAAAACATACGAATTTATACCCGTTACATTCATCAAACTGTAGAAAATTACCATGGGCGACCGGTTTGTGCCTCGTGCAACGTTATAGGTTTCGCACATTTTGTCCACAGTATCAATTCCACCTTTTGTCGCATTGTAGTCCATTATCAATTCAGGTTTACCGGTTTCGACGTCGATTTTAGCATCATCATGCATGCTAGACACAAGTAAAACATTCTTGCCCTTTTTGGGCACATAAGATACAAGTGCACAATTGCCTCGGTGCCCAAATAAGCTGGATTTTTCTTCTCGACCTCTTATCTCCGTAAACTGTTTGGGCAGTTCCCTTTTATTTTTGCGAAGTGTGCCGATCACGGTCAACTTCTGTGACTCAAGTTTATCTATCAAGGGAATACTGGTAAAGAAATTATCACATGTGATGTTACGGCCAGTATTATAAATACCTTCACTGAGTCGCAAAACCAAAGCCATTGACGAGTTATCAAGTCTATATGCGCGTCTCTTATGAATTGAGATGAAATTCGTTTTATTTGTTCGTTAGTGTACTTTTCCATCCGACCAATAACATCCTCCGTGAAAAATAACCTCCATATCTCACCGGGTTCTTTCAAATACTTAGCTCCACCTTTAGCACCTAGAAGTTGAGTAACGATATTCCTAGCACTCTTCTTACTGGATTTGACGCAGGAGTTTTGTTCCACCTCGTGTGACGGTCTTTTCCGAGGTAATAATTTATATATGTTTGATGATCTTCCGACTCCACTTGAGAATTGCTCTCCTCTGCAGATTGACCCTCTTGCTCATGCTCAGAATTATCCTCTTGCGCGCTATTGTAGCTATCTTCTTGTATTTCAACAAAATCCTCTACCTCACTATCGTTTTCATCTTCATAGTTAGAATCAGAATTTTCTTCTTCCAACATCAATCTAATTTGATTTTCGTCCATCTTGACGCAAAATATAACCTAAAAATAATAAAAAATGTTTATCCATAACATAATGATACAAAAACTATAAATAACAAGCGAATTTTATAATAATAATTAAGTTATTACTTACACAAAAAATTTATCCTATACCCGCGTCGGTCCCACAGACCAATTGGCGCCAAAAAACGACCACATGTGCTGCTCGCACGAACGCACTGTGCACATTGGAAAGAATGTAGCAACGAATCAGGCAGCTAAAGTACAAAATGTCAGCATTGATGTATAAAGAACAAAACGCAAAAGAGTATTTTGTCTCACAGACCAACGCGCGGATATAGGAAGGTTAAGTAGGAACTGAATAAATTAACCGACTTGGTATTACATGTCTCTCTCGAAGAACTGAGTTGCGAGACTTATTTTTTCTTTTACTTAGTTATGTTTTGATGGCATCTCATTTATTTTTGTAGATAAGATAGTCCTACTTTTTTTCCTTTCCGGTGCCTTCTACTTCTTGAAAACCATCCACGTACCTATATACAAACATATATTCATATGGGATTACAAAGTTATTTATGCAGTTAGTGTATCTAGGAAACTGGACCGAAATTAAAAAATATTTTAGTTTTTCCTTGATTTATACACTAAACACTAATTGTATTCTAAATTTGAAGCTTCTATGTCTGCTAGAAGTGCCTTAGAGTTTTGATGAATACACTTTTAAAAGCGACAATATTTCTCGGTTTACCGGTATCATTAAAATTTTGTTACATCCCTAGTATTATTGTTTTTATACATAAATATTTCTTTGTTTTTAATTCTAATATAAACTAAATATATCGATTGATTTATTTTTATTATTTTGATTAATGAAGAGCTAACGTATCACAAAGCCGTGTATGCAAAGAAGGCTGTTTTTGAGTTATAAGAAAGTGACTATATTAACCGGATGACCATATTACATTTCATCGGTCAATCAAATAATAAAGGGTTAAAAGGGCGCTACTCTAGCGACGCCTTTTTGACGGTTGATATTACAGTAAATATTTTAGTCGATTTCAGTACGATGTAGTGTAGTTAGTTTTTTGAGTTGATTTTTCAAAGTGTTCCTAATTCGTGCTGTGCTAGTTTACTATTTTTTTCTTAATATATTAATTATATTATACGATTTTTATATTTCTGTCTCTGTCTTCCTTCTAGTTTTGGTTTTATAGGGCAGCAAAGCTTAATATTATCCTCACCTACCTTATTTTTTGATATCTATAATAAACATTAGTTATTTTTTATAGCTTATCAAACTTTTAAGAATGAAGTCACAGTGCACTAAAGAGCTCATTGCCACTTCATTATCAAGAGTAAATATTATATCAGATTCATAAAATATGTACTACATTTTGCAAAATAACATATTTGTTGTTTAAGGTGACATTGGATAAGCAAATACAAATTACAAACATTTTTTATCGAATTTTAATTTAGCCTCTAAATTATAATTTATTATTTATACATTAATTATCTGCAGGCGAGAATGCACAAATAAAACTTAGAGTATACGTAAGAAATTAGAAATTACTTATGTAATAAATAATTAAATTAATTTAAAAAATACATTTTTTTTAAATTTAAGACGCATGACAATTGTTCGATGTGAGAATCAAGAGTACAAAAGTGAATCAATAATCTTGAAATAAACTTAAGCTCGACAATGGAAGCGTTTGCACGGTGGCATCTGTCTGGGCAGTGCTTTGTAGATATTTAGTGAAACGACATAGCCCTCCCAGCAGGATAGTATGCATCAGCGGTTCCCATAGTTTGTTATCGCTTTACATCTCCCACCGTAAGATCAGCCTGTATTTGGAGACTTAAAAATAATACAGAGAGTTATGTAGAATCTCTAGGGCCGCGAACGAAAGAAAAAAAGAAAGGAAATTATTACTTGTTATTATTTATCCACCCAAACATATCCTTATTGACTGCATTCTACTCTCCCGCTTATTCTGCCACAGCCAACTTCACTACCGTAAAATAATAATAATAATAAAATAATATCCTCCAGAGCGAATTCCGGTTACGGTAGCCAGTCTCAACGGAGACTAGTCATCTGCCTAGGACAGGATTGAAGTACCCGAGTGTATGCGTATGCACAGGTTCACTCTCTATTCCCTCACTCTCATAGTCCGATGGGACAGCTATCCTACACGACCGGAGAAAGATGAGTCACAGGATCAATATCTTAACGTACTTTCTGAGGCATGGTGGCTAATAATCGCTAACTTCCTGTCTTCGGGCTATTACTGAAAACTTCTTGACAAAAAAAACTCATTAACTGAATTTTGGTCCGACCTTGGATTCGATCAAGGGACTTTTTTATAATAAACAGGGGTGATAAACGAGCACACAGCACACAGTCCACCTGATGATAGTTGTATGCCGTGACCTATAGACATCTATATTTATCCTCAGTTAAGAATCAAAATGCAGATGCGTTGCCACCCCTGAGGACTGAGATGGAATGCGTCATTTCCAGAAAAAAGGGTCTCCGGTTCTCACTACACTCAGCTAATGAAGCACAGCAGTCTTAAGCTGCTACTTCACGCTGGTATACTGTGAGAGCGTGGTCCTACCTCGGTCGAGCCAACCCAATCGTGCTACAGCTATACTATACCATATTTTCCATTTTCGCCGTGTAGAGACGGCATAAGTGAAACCCCATATCACATATATGGGGCGGGGCGGGGGAGGGGGGGGCTATAATGCTAAGCAGTGGACTTAGTGGACGCTTTAAAGATGACGATGATGATGGTTCTCCACCTTTAACCGACTTCAAAAATAAGAAGGTGCAAAGTAGCAAGTCAGAAAAGGCACGTGGAAATTCATAAGGCTGTGTTAGTCACTACCTTAATGCATGGCAGCGGCTACACTACATTATTGGTCTAGTAATTGTAAATACGACTTCTTATCACGAAGTTAGAGAACCGGAGACCCTTATTACTGGAAACGAGGCTTTCAATCTTAGTCCTCAGGGGGAAAATGCATCTGCGTTTTGATTATGAATCGACGATAAATGTAGATGTCTATGGGCCACAGCATTCACTTACCAAAGCATCCACTTGTCAAACGAGGACACAGTCTACCTGGTAGTGAAGTGTGTGCTTGTTTGTCACTCTTTTTAACCGACTTCAACAAAGAGTAGGTATTCAATTCGACTGTATGTTTTTTTTATATATTACCTCAGAACTTTTTTCTCGGTGAACCGATTTAAATTTTTATTTGAAAGCTGGTGCTTCTCGTGTGGTCCCATAGACATTTGATCAAGATCTAACCAAGTTATCCTTAATTATTTAAAATTATTGTTTAATTGACTTCGAATACATTGATTCCGTCGTATTGTAGTCAGTTGTACAAATTTTTTTAACATCTGGAAAGAATAGGGTGTAACATGTAAACGGAGTAGAAGCCTATGGCACTGATATTTAAAAAAAAATTGAATCAAATAATTAAATAAATTAAAATCATATCCACCCTACTTTACGAACGGTAATAAAACAATAAATTTAGTTGGCATAATTGACCTTGTCACTTTGCAGGGTCACAGGCTCAAGGGCAAAGGGCAAATTAATTGTTCAAAAAAGCTTTTTAAAACGTTTTATTCAAAATTTTTGTTTTCATTTTATGTAAAATATCAGTGCCATAGGCTTGTAGGCTACTTTCCTACATTATACACACACACATATGTCATACAGATACACATGTGAGTATACATACTCTCTCACACTCAACATATACAATACTTTTACACGCCACTATATACTCTCAACACAATGTACGTAGCAACAGCCGGGCGTTGAACGCGCCGTCCGGAATTCCGTTAAAGCGGGCTACATACGACACGATATCGGTGGCGATCTAGGGTGGAAAGAAATCGGGGCCTTTATCGGGGTAGACCTTACACACGGGCCTGCCTAGCAGTACGCGTTCGGACTTGGAGCGGAATGCATATGCGGTAGAGTTCTTCAAAATACCTCCGACTCTCTTAAAACACCACCGTGTTGGTTTGGCATTAGCCATCTCGGTTAATTTATTCGAAAATAGAAAAAGAGAAGTTGCTGGGTGAAAAAATTAAGCCACATAAACGTACTAAATGGCCTGTAATCCAAGGACGTGATTAATTTTCTCCGGATGGATGAAGACAGTTTTTATAACCTTCTAGAAATGATTTCGCCACTTATACGTAAAAACGTCAATTTCTCCTACCTATGCTATTTAGTTATTTCTTCTCTTTGTTCATTTCTGCTTTGGTCAAAATCTGGTTATGTATTACACACAACAAACAAGGAAATAAAATACTTTTGTATAATAATATGTATACTTTTTTTTTAATGTAATCTTTATTTATGGAGTAAAACTATCAGAAAATAAAATAGCTTATATCTTTTTTTAAACATAAAGAAACCTTTAATTTCGGACATACTCCCTTTTATATAACTTGTTTGTTGATGTGGAGATGGTGAAGGAGTAGAAGTTAGTTGTTGATAAGAGGATGAAGGCACGTAAGAGATCGAAGTGTGGTTTTGTGGAGTTGTAAGAGATATGAGTGCGGTCTTGTGTTGATAGCGTTGGAATAGGAGTTAGTTGTTGAGGAGAGGCTTTATCTTCTGCTTACTTACATCATACACTCTACTTTACGAACGGCAATAAAAAAATTAGTTTAGTAGGCATTCTTGACCATGCCACTTCGCAGGGTCACAGGCTAGGGTGCATATGATTTGAATTTCGATAAAATTTCAATTAATTTATTTATTTTATTCACTTTTTTTTTGGTTTTTGTAAAATATCAGTGCCATAGGCTTCTACTCCGTTTATATGATTAAAATGTTAAAATTTTGTTATATAAAAAAGGTCATTCAGTATCACTGTTTTGTTAACTTCCTTCCGCGAGGGTTGCCGGCAGCGACTGCCAAAAGAAATCGGGCCGATGCGCCTACACACACGCAGTAAGGAGGGGGCGGTGCCCCGATCTAGGAAGCATCGGCTGATCTAGGAAGCATTTTTGCTCCTGCCAGCCGATTAAGGAGGCGATATCGGCCACGACTTAGGATGGCCCTACATACGACACGATTTAGAGGAATCTAGGAGGCATCCCTACTACTCCACCCTAGATCGCCACCGATATCGTGTCGTATGTAGCCCGCTTAACACAGCTGACAAAAGGATCGCCTGCGTCCGCGCACCGCGTTCACCAGTCGTTCTGCCGATACGACGCGGAAGGCATGTTGCTCGCAAGCGCTCATCCTTTGTTCTCGCCATAGACTTTTAAATATTGCAGTTAATATTTATTGTGCTGTTTGTAGACTGTATTTTTATTATAAACTCTTTTATCTTGGCTTGCGTATCTTCTGCTTATTTGTGCTAAATTGTGTATCTCCTGCTTGTGTGTATTAAATTAAACATTTTAACTGTAAGTGTTGTGGACTTATTTGTATAGACTATTTATCTCGCCAAACTGGTGACCCCGATCTGAATACGTATTTAATACTATAATGGCTAAACAACGCGAGCACAGCGGTGAGCACATGTCTGTCGGGCCTTCCGACATTTGCAAAGTTGGAATTCGTGTTCCGCCATTTTGGCCAGAAGAACCGGAGATTTGGTTTGCTCAGGTAGAAGGACAATTCGCGATTTCAGGTATAACTAATGATTCCACCAAATTCAATTATGTTATTAGTCAATTAGAACATCAGGTATCTAAGGAAATAAAAGACATTATTGTGAATCCTCCTGCCAGTGATAAATACGAAAAGCTTAAGTCAGAGCTTATTAAAAGACTGAGTGCGTCTCATGAAAGGAAGGTTAAGCAATTGCTCATGAAACCGTCACAATTTCTCCGGCACCTGCAAAGTCTAGTGGGTCCTAGCGTTCCCGATGAGTTCGTGAGGACAATTTGGACGAGTAGACTGCCAGCAAACATCCAGATAGTTCTGGCAGCACAACCGACTGCTTCGCTCGAGATATTAGCAGATTTAGCGGACAGAACCAGGACATTGCTATATCTTTGCCTCAAGTAGCTACCACCAGTTACTGTGCACCTCCAACTCCTGGTTCCACGATGGATTCGATGGCCAAAGAAATTGCAGAATTAAGAAAGCAAGTGGAAAACCTAACAACAAGCCTTCATCGGAGATCTCGCTCTCGCACGAAATATCATCGACCCAATCAGCATCTTCCTATCGAAGGCATCCTAAATGTTGGTTCCATGCGTAATTCGGTGTCAACGCCAAAAGGTGTGTTCTCGTTGCCAAAGCCAAAAGTTTGTTGCCAAAGTTGCCAAAGCACTGCTGTCTGGATGGATAGCTAGGTATGGCTGTCCAGTAGACATTGTTACAGATCGCGGTCGACAGTTCGAATCCGCTTTGTTCCAATATTTATCGAAGATAAATGGGTTCCAGCATAAAAGAACAACAGCTTACCATCCAGCATGCAACGGTTTAATAGAGCGTTTCCACAGGCAGCTCAAGGCAGCGATCATGTGCCATGCAGATGAGCATTGGACTGAATCTTTACCTTTAGTTCTCCTTGGAATTCGTAGTGCATTTAAGGAAGACTTGCAGTCTTCGTCTGCCGAACTGCTATATGGAGAACCACTTAGGCTACCTGGTGAATTTCTTGACCCCACCATAAATGTTACGTCGGATGTAACCGATTTTACAGCCAGGTTGCATAATTTTGTTAAACATTTGCAATCTGTCCCAGCTTCACGCCACACAAAAGAAAAAACTTTTGTATACAAGGATCTCGCAACTACTGAACACGTCTTCTTAAGAGAAGACGCTTCACGTACGAGTTTGCAACCTGCGTACTCAGGTCCGCACAAGGTACTCGCCAGAGGAGATAAGGTATTTAAACTCCTGGTAAAAAGGCAAAGAGATGAATGTCTCAATCGACAGACTTAAACCGGCTTAAATTTTAGCTGACGATAGCAGCTACATTCCCATTCAGACCGCTTCCTCAGAGAATATTAAAGGGTCCCATACGGGTCCAATTACAAGGTCTGGACGCCGTGTTAGATTCCCGGACTATTATCGACCATAAGATGGCCTCTGCGGGGGAGTGAATGTAGGCTACTTTCCTACATTATGCACACACACATATGCCATATAACATGTGAGTATACATACTCTCTCACACTCAACATATACAATACTTTTACACGCCACTATATACTCTCAACACAATGCACGTAGCAACAGCCGGGCGTTGAACGCGCCGCCCGGAATTCCGTTAACACAGCTGGCAAAAGGATCGCCTGCGTCCGCGCACCGCGTTCACCAGTCGTTCTACCGATACGACGCGGAAGGCATGTTGCTCGCAAGCGCTAATCCTTTGTTCTCGCCATAGACTTTTAAATATTACGGTTAATATTTATTGTGCTGTTTCTAGACTGTATTTTTATTATAAACTCTTTTATCTTGGCTTGCGTATCTTCTGCTTATTTGTGCTAAATTGTGTATCTCCTGCTTGTGTGTATTAAATTAAACATTTTAACTGTAAGTGTTGTGGACTTATTTGTATAGACTATTTATCCCGCCAAAGGCTTCTACTTAGTTCACATGTCACACCCTATTTTTCCAGACGATAAAAGGGGTAACCAGTCTATAAAAAGGATCCGTTTTCTGCCCAGGAGATCGTCTGAGACCTACTCCGTCCGTCCACTTATGTACTTCGACGCGAAAGCAGTGCTTGCATTGCTATGTTCTGTTCTGAATACATACAGAGCCTGTATACCGTTCAGAACGGTATAATTACGGACTGTGAGGCATACCATTTGTCCTCAGTGGTGACAACGCATGTATAGCTTTCTTTGTTTGAAGTTAGCCGCGGTGGACACTTACCATCAGGAGAACTGCATAAGTTAGTTTCTCACTTCATTTAAAAAAAAAAAGAAAAATAATACATCCAATATCTTACAGGTACCTAGAGGTGTTACTTTTTTGTGTGCTCTTCGGCATGTCCCTCGCCAAAGAATACGAAGAGGATAGAAGCGACGATGCGTATTGGATATCATGGTTAAAGTACTACACCACAGAACCAATCACCATAGGCTCACGGATTGGAGGTATTGTGTCAAATTAGAAATATCTTACGTGAGGTAACATGGTCATTTGGTTAATATGGTCACTTTTTTATAATTCAAAAACTACAACCTTGTTTGCGCAGATAACTATTCATAAGTCAATCATATAAATAACGGTCAAAAGGGCACTGCTTTATTGACGCCATTTTGATAGTTGACATTATGCTAAACATTATAGTCGATTTTAATTGTCCAGTGTAGTTCGTTTTTAAGTCGATTTATCAAAGTGTTTTTAATTATTGCTAATGTTGTTTGCTATTTTTGTCTTATACTCAGTGACTATTTTTACCGTCAGGAAAATAATATGGTGTTTTGTGTAAGTGGAATAGAAGCCAATCTCGAAAGTATTTTGTTAAATATAACTTATAAGCAAAATTTCCGAATATCCCAAAAAATACATAAAAACAATTCGCTCTACCGCATTTGAATAAAACTAAAAATGATTAAATTCAAATGTAGGCACATGTAGGCTACGAATTTTATACCTACCGTATACTGCAATATCTTAAGCGTTTTTAAAAGATCGAAATCAACTTATTTACAGACTACACAGGTTAATATTTACAAAATTACATTATTAAACTACATTATTGCTGTTTGCAAAAAAAAAAATAACTTTTTAGCGATATCGCAGTAATTGTTCAAAATGTCGTTTCTTTCTAAACACAAACTAGCACGTCTTTGTAAATTGTTTGTTAAACTTTCACTAACACTTAGTGCTTCTTCTGTGTACACAAATCATTTTAGTTCAACCCACAAATAAAAACCAGAGGTTTTAGGTCAGGTAACCTCGCCGGGAAGTTTCAACTACAACCTATCACCGGATTGGGTGTGATCGTTCGTAACGAGCAGGACATCCGGCGTGCTGGAAGTACATTCCATGCTGATGGCTCAGAGAAACGTTTTTCAACATTGTGTCGATTACGGAACGTATTATTTACACATACGTTACTTCCTTTAAACGACCTTCAATCCATATTGGACCAATGATGTGGTCGTTAATGATTGTCGCCCAAACGTTAACACTGAAACGAATTTGATTAGCATGTTCTTTGACTTTGTGTGGGTTTTGGAAACTCCACCAGTGCTCATTGTGCACATTGCAAAATCCAACACGAGTAAATTTCGATTCGTCGCACCGTCTAAGTTTACACCAGAATACTCGACATTAGAGTATTGGTATACGCTTACAATACACATGCGGAAATATAAACAATACGATGGCGACGCGACACGACGTCACGCCGCAGATAATCATAGATCACTGAATGTAGATGCTCGTGTGTGAGAATGTTAGTAGTGGAGCGGGTTATGCTGGCGGGATGTTAACTGGAGAGCATGCAGTATCAGTTAGATGAGCAATAAATAACACTTCTTCAGAGTTTCTTCTTATTTATTTTCTTGATTCCTTATTCTTACATTGCCGGATTTGGAATGTTTTACCACAAAAAACGCCTCTTTTTTATAGGCATCTGTGACGAATCAGAATTAATAGAATTTGCACACGGTACTAATGATTCCCGTCGAGCAATCAGAGCGCAGAACGACCTTTTCTAAAGGAAATTTACAAATTTCTTTAATATGTGTGGTAAAACATACCTTACAATATTTTTATACATTCCTGACAATAGAGATAACTTATCTTTACTATTTCGAACATTAAATATTCATAAAACTCTTAATTTATGCTTGTAAAAAATAAAAATAGTGGCGCGGTCTTCCTATGGTTTAGCTCCGGAGTAGCTAAGCTTTTTCCGCTTAACATACAAGTAGCGCCGCCAGGCGGCAGGAATGCACAATACTTATCATGATAATATTATGCTTAAGATTCTATACAGAATATATTTTAACTTCTTATTAAATTAAAATCTATTTTTATAATGAGAAATTAGATTACCAAAGTGATTAATTGACATATTATCGTTTTAAATTACTATAAAAGAAAAATAATTAAACAAATCATTAAATTTACACTTAAATGTTAATATCTCTAATACAGCTCTTTAAAATTATAACAGAGAAAGTTCTAATAAGTAACTAAACTTATATTTTGTTTCTAACATTCTAATTTAACCTAAATAATCTTTTCATATTTTCGTTTTTACAGACTTTGTTACTAATTTTCGTTACGTAATTTTAAAATAAGAATTGAAGCTAATATAAGCAATTAATTCACTTTCTTGGTATTAACGCTATTAGTCTTTATACTTAGTTTAAATCACAGATAAGAAACAATTGAGATTAAAAGTTTAAATTCACTTTTCATTGCTAACACTTAGTTTTAGATCACAAATAAGAAACAATTGAGATTAAATGTTTAAAATTCACTTGTCGTCACTAACACTGAAATTAGTGAGAGCGCGGGCGACTTTGCCCTTAAGCCTGTGATCCTGCGAAGGCACAAGGACAAAGAAGCTTTCTAAACTTTTTGCTTAATTGCGACTCGGAAAGGGTGCGTATGATTTGAATTTTGATAGATTTTAATTGATTTATTTATTTAGTTCAAAATTTTTGTATTTACTTTGTTAGTACAATTTCAAATTGGTAGTATTTACTTGTCACACCCTATATTTTTCCAGACGGTAAAAATGATCATTCAGTATATTAGTTACAGACTTATAGTTTACGGATTTCTGTTTTGTCTCTGTCGTCCTCCTGGTGGTGGTTTATAGGGTGGCAAAGCTTAAGGTGACCATATTACCCTCACGTACCTTACTATATTGTTAGAAAACACACACAAGCACAGCACAATTCACCTGATAGTACGTGGATACTGTGGTCCATAGAAACTTATGTATACCTATCATCGTTCGAGGATCAAAAATTTGGATGCTATTCCTGGGTCTAATATGGCATGGCTCTTTAGTTTGAAAAAGTTTATAGGGTCTCCGAGAATTCATTCGGTGACGTGATTTTTTTATACATTTTTTGTGTAGATGGGCTGAATATGGATTTCACCGAAAACGAATATTTAGCCGAAAGTTCGATAAAAGTATTACCGAACCGTACTGCCAAACATTATACGGCAGGATCGCCTCGGTACCTAACCAATTGATGTCAAAACTTGTTGCCGTAACGCGCGCGGGATTAGCGCCGGACCCTGCGCCTCGCTCCCCCGCCACACCTGACTTGATTGCATTATCTAGTTTTGAGCAAATTGCCGGCTCATGCTTATGTTTTGACTATTTTGGTTAAAAAAAAAAGTATTTCGTTGTGTTATTCTTAGTGTAAATTGAAAGAGTGGCAGGTGATCTACTAATTGGACTTATTTTAGAGAAACTGACGATCAAAGTAAAGTGAAACGTACATATGTAATATAATGTTTCTTTGTTGATTTCAAAAATATTTTATCAAGCTTTTTATTTGCTATAAATATTTGAAAATAAATCTACAATACATGAAAAACATAACATTTCAAGAAGATTTAGCCAGCAAATAAAATATACTTTCAACAGTAAAATTATAAACGACATGGTATTAATCAATTCGTAAATTTCAATATAGTGGACACTTAGTACCACTTAAACGAATTTTCAATGAAGTAGTCGAATATTCGGCCGAATACGAATATTCGGTAAAGCTGCCAAATATGCCGAATACCGAATATGAAATGAATATGCCGTATATTGTGCATCACCATCTCTAATTTATATAAATTTTTATAAATGTTACTGTGATGTTTTCTTTAATTGAAGGCTCCGTGGCGCACTGGCTTAGTACTAAGTCGCGGCGCTGAGAGCCTCGGTTCGATTCCCTCACGAAACAAGTTTTTGTACGGCATACATATAAGTATTCCGGGGGTTGATGTTTGTCCTTGTGCAATTCATTTTTGTAAACAGCCTCTTAGATACAGGAGAGAATCCTTGTATGGAGGTAACGTTTAAAAAAATTTGTGAACCGATTTTAATCACATAGTGGAGAGTGGAGTGATAAAAGAGAACAAAGACCAAAAGTATTGTAAAATGTTATAAATTAAAAGAAGTAGGGTAAAATCGGGTAATGGCGGTCAGATGGTAATACCGGTCAGCACACTTCCAATTATGTTACGATGTTTATAAGCACGCACACATACAAAGCGGGTGGCGTGACTATTCTCCTCGCAGGAGCGCCGAACCCCCTTCAATTCCATGCATGCGTTTGGGAAGAAGGCACGTCGAAAGTTTTCGCGCCACTTTGTTGTAAAATTTTGCGGTCCAAAAATAAGAAGTAAATAAATTTTACTCGATAGTTTTCAAATGTAAATTTAATAAAAGTATTGCCTAACTATTTGTGCGCAATCGTCAAATCAATCTTTGTTGATTAGCCTGCAGATTTTAAATAAATTTTAAATATTTAGAAATGTCAATCATCGGGTAATACCGGTCATGGTTGACCGGCATTACCCACACACCCACATCAATTTATTTGTAAAGTTTTCAATTTAAATAGTCAGTGTCATTAAAACTTTTAGTATTTTATTGTTTCAGGGTAATTGCAAAATGCAGCCAAAACATGTAAAAGCGCGCATAAAGGCGAAATGGAGCAAAAAATCATTGGAAGCTGCTTTTAAACTAGTTGAAGATGGAAACCCGATAAGAGAAGCCGCCCGATGTACTGGCATTCCATTTTCTACACTACAAGAGAGGCTGAAAAAGAAAAATTTGGATACTCCACAACTGGGAAGAAATACTACTTAAGAAAGTATGGCCTCTCAAATTAGACTGCTTGCGAATATATTTTACGGGTGTACTGCTATAGAAATAAGGAAGATGGCTTTTAAGTACGCAGAAAGAAATAACATCAAGCACAACTTCAACAAAACTTCAGAATCAGCTGGTAGAGATTGGCTTGAGGGGTTTTTAAAACGAAATAACTTATCAGTGCGTAGGCTGAAGGCACAAGCTTAAATAGAGCTTCTGCTTTTAACAGAGATGAAGTAGGAAGATTTTTTTGACTTGCTTTGAAACTTGATGCAAAAATATAAGTTTCCACCTCGAAACATATATAATGTGGATGAAACTGGCGTAACATCGGTACAGGATCCTGGCAAAGTTGTAGCCGAAAAAGGCCAAAAACGAGTGGGCTCTATTACCAGTGGGGAAAGGGGCCAAAATATTACGGCAGTATGCGCTTTGAGTGCCACAGGGCAATACATTCCTCCAATGTTTATTTATCCACGTCAACGGCATTCGACAGCATTGGAAAATGATGGACCACGTGAAGCAGTATATAGGTGTTCCAAAAACGGGTGGATAAACGAAGAGCTCTTTGCAGAATGGCTTAAGCACTTTACGAAATATGCAAAACCTTCGGAAAGTGATCCGGTTTTGCTCCTCTTAGATAATCATTCTAGCCACATTTCTTGGAATTCGTATAACTTTTGCAAAGAAAACCACATTATGATGTTGTCTTTGCCACCACACCGATCTCATCGAATACAGCCATTGGATATTTCCATTTTTGGTCCCCTTAAAACCGCATATAAGCAGGAATGTAACATATTTATGAAATGCAATTTGGGACGAAAAATTACACAAGGTGAAATAGCTTCGCTGTTTAGAAAAACATTCCAAAGTGTAGCGATACATTCCCCGAAGCAGGATTTACTGCTTTAGGGATATATCCTTACAACCCAAATATATTTACCGATGAAGATTTTCTACCAGCTGCGATAATGAACAATAGCGAACTTCTTGATGAAGAGAGGTGCGATCATGATAATCGAATACAAGATGCCCCATCTCTGCTTGACGATTCAAAAGCAACCTTACAAATCTCTCAACCCAACTTAAATGATCACCACGATGCCATATTATCTTCTGAAATGCCTCCTGTTGCATCACGCAACGCAACACTTTCGCCTGCCATTCCACAGCTCGACCTAGATTTCGAAAACCTAGACTCCACAATTAACGATATCTCTCATATTGATTTGCATAATGCAACACCACCAGCTGTAAATGAAACCGAGTCTAATGTCAATTATTACAATCCTATTCCCTCAACATCTGGAATATCTTCAGTCAAAACCCATATTGAAAATATTGAAAAAGTTACTGTGAAGAATTTTCTTCCTTTGCCAAAAAAATCCGAACAGAAAAATATAAAAGCGATGCGGATACAACATGCTACGGTAATAACAGGAACTCCAAATAAAATAGTTTTATTTGAGAAAGAGCAAAAAAGTTAGCAAAATTAGCAAAAGCTCAGATAAAAGTTGAAAAAAAGAAAAATAAAACAGTGGAAATAAAAAAAATATTACAATAAAAAAGGAGAGAACAATGAAAACTACAAAGGTAAAAAAAGTGAACAAGATGGATTATAGTGAAGATGAAACTGATCCTATAAGTGAAGATCTGGATAGCAAAAAAGAAAATAATCATAAAAAACCAACAAGAATGAAAAGGAATTTGAAGAAAGGTATAGAATTGAAAGGAGTGAAGAGGAAAGTGTTACAGAATGAGTCTATGAACGAAGACAGTACTCCAAACTCTGAAATAGAGATGACAGATTTACGCGAAGACGATGACACGGATTTAGACGATGTCGGGAACAGATGTATAATCTGCGATGACTATGGACGAGACAACGAGTTGTGGTACAGATGTATATTGTGTGGACGTTGGGCCCACTCGGAATGTTCAGGACGTCACTCTGCAAAAGATTATAAATATGATTTATGCTCCCATTAAGCTTGACTGGTATTAACCAACAGCTGACTGGTTTTACCTTACATTGCGTGCCAGTCAAACACGTTTTTTTTAAATGTTTATTATACCAAAACTATGTGATATAGTGATCTGAATTAAAGTGCCATTAATAGTAGAATAATTATATTCGAGATTGTGATTAGTTCTATAAAGATATGTTGATTTATATTCGCTTTGTGTTAATTTTTCCTTAAGTGACCGGCATTACCCCATTCTACCCCACACCAATAAAAATTCCAAGAAAGGAGTTAAAAATATAAAGAACGAAGAATTAAGTTAAGCATGTGGAAGTAGGTAAATGAGAACAAAGACCGAGAATATTAAAAAAATATATAAAATAAAAGAAGTACATCAATATAAAATCCAAAAAAGCAGTTAAATTTCTTCAAAATTTGACACGATGCAAGAGAAGGAAGATACAATAATATTAAATACTCTTCCTATGGCTTGGATGTATCCTCGCCCGAAGAGGACTGGATACTCTGTGTGGTGTCCACATCTGGTGGTTATATTTGAGATTTTGTTAGGAATATATATAATAGATCGTGCGTGGGTTACCCCAGGAGTCGCAATTACCCACACTGGTTTCCGTATTTACCTTATTTATATGCACCGGGTAATTACGGACAGCAAGTATTTTGTTTTAAATATTTAATAGCAATTAATTAGTTAAAAACAAAATATTAAGTAAGGTTAAACAATTTTGTAAGGTTATAACCAAAGTTTAATTATTTTTGACATAAGAAAGTGGTCTGTGTAGACCTTTTTTAGATGATAAGATGATGTAATTAACCTAAAAGACTGCTAATACTGGGATGCTCATCAATAACAACTCAGTTGTTAAATTTAAATCTATACAATCTGTTTCAGGTGATGAAGATTCTATACCCTACGATAAAATCATAGCCCATACGAAAGAGAAGTTATTACAGCAGTTGAAGGCTGAGGAAAGTAAGTAATCGAGCATTATAAGGTTAGAGCAGAGTTCCCCAAACTTTTTTTGTGTCGTAGACCCCTTGCCATGTTTTTCCGTGTTGGGTAGACCCCCTACTTACCTGATATTGATTTCCTGTAAATTTCTAACTGTAGTGAAGTTTAGTGTTAAAAACTTAAAGTAAAAACACATGTTAATTTATACATTTATTAATTGTATTAAAATTGAAACTACTCAAAATAAAATTTTGTATCTGTTATGTAAAATATACGTAGCATTAAATAAACATAAAATAAACTATAAATAAAATAACATAATCAATAAGTCAATATTTTAGTGAGAAGGGTGAACCTGATGCTTTAATAATAAATTATTAACATTTGGCGTCAATTTTGTAAGGGTTAATCTTAAATCTCCTCGGCTAATGATGTCCAGTCTGTTTCTTTTTTTCGTTAGGAGATTGGCAACAGCGCTGAACTCCCTTTCCACTAGGTATGACGATGGAAAGGCAATTAAAAATTTCCTCGCTATATTCCATAATACGGGATAAGTAACGGGTATGTTGTTTTACAGCCAGAATTGCTGATATCCTTTTTAAACAGAACCTTAAGTTCTTCGTTTGTACTTAGTTCAGTCAGTTCCTCTTGTATTATGACATTCGTTTCTTCTATGTCACCATATGGATTAATTATCCACGGTGGTATTACCATAGTCAAAATATCCTCAAACTTAGATTCAAAATCTGAATAGAGGGCATTTAAATGTTGAACGTAAGTTGAAACGTCGTCTTCCTGGCAGCTTGTCTGTGACAAATTGGGGAACTGAGAAAATTCGCCCCGTCCAATATTTTGCTTCATTAGTTTAACTCTGGCAAGAAACGCTGATAAGATGGACTTTGTTTTAATCAAATTTAAACTGTAGCCTTGTAATTGCAAATTAACCATATTAAATTTTGTAAACAAATCTGTTAAATAGGCGATGTCTGTTTTCCTCTTCATTAAATTTTCTTTTAAAATTTTATCTTTAGTCTCCAGAAATTCTAAAATAGTCTCAAAAAGTGCAAAAAATCTTGTCAAACATAAGCCTTTCGACAGCCAGCGTACTTCAGTGTGAAGGAGTAATTGATGAAAGTGTTCGTCATTTTCTTCACACAACTGCGCAAATAACCGTGTATTCAACGCGTTGCTTCGGATTCGGTTTACTGCATCAATGACTAAATGAAGTGATTCATGCAATCTAACACTCAAATTTTTAGCAACTAAATGTTGTCGATGGATGACGCAATGTATTGCTAACACCCCTGAAACATTTTGTTTTAAATAGCTTATAAATCCACGATAACGTCCAACCATGGCAGGTGCTCCATCTGTAGCTACCGATATTTTATATTTGATAAAGGAATTGCTTTTTCAATGAAGTAATCCTTCAAAACATGAAATATTGATTCATTCAAGAACTTTGATAACCGACACTAAAGGTGAATCAATCACCTTTAGTGTCGGTTATCAAAGTTCTTGCGAAGAGCAGTTCGTCGTAGATTTCTTGATTTATAATAAAACGAACATATGCCAATAATAATGCTGCATTATCAGGTAAAGTTGACTCGTCCAGTTGTATAGAGAAATGGGTCGTTTGCAAATAATTACATAAGAAGCTTTCAATATCAGAACTCATTTCATCAATACGTCTTTCAACAGTATTGTTGCTTAAGGGAATTCTTTTAATGATATCAGATGCAGGTTTGTATAAAACAGTTTTTAAAACCTCTTCAACGGTTGTCAAAATTAACTTCTCTCCGATAGTATGCGGTTTTGCGGATTTTGCTATAAGTAACAAGATATTGTAAGTCGCCCGCAAACCATCATCATTTCTTTGTGACGTCGAAGCGAACATTCTGTCCAGTGTAGGTCTCTTCTGAAATTTATCTTTGAGTGTTTGAAAGTATTTCAAATCTTTCTCTGTTTTATCAGGGTGGCATCTTCTCAGATGATCTTGCAGTTTAGATGGTTTCATAGCGTCATTGCCCAAAACTTTGTTGCATAAAAGGCATAGGCAATTGTTTGTCCAGCAATGATGGAATGAAACCAAATTTCAAATATTCGACACTGTACTGTCTACATTTCTTTTTAGATTCGGACATGGCATCAGTCATCTGTGGGCAAAATTAAATTATTTAAATAAGTCAGAAAATCCAGCAGTTGTATACTAAAAATATTTTTTGATTTTTCCGAAAACATTCCATAATTCGAACATCTTCTTGCAACAATTAGCTCGAATTACGGAGATTGCACTGTAATTATAATACCGATTGCTATAACTTTCAAAAAGAAACTATTGAGGAGTAGTCGTGTAATTTTGCATGATTGAATATTAAACTACTAATAACTAAAGTCATGATACAGTTACATGATATAGTTAGCAAAGATAGATAAATTACGCCATAATTTATCTATCTTTGCTAACTACGAGTACAAAACTAAAATTTAATAAAAAATAATGCACTTACTTTTCTCCAGCACTCTCAAACAAAATAACACTGACTCACTATAATTTGTGTGATATACTATCTGTTTTTATTTTTTTTTTAATATTTTCTTAGCACTTTCCTTTTCAAGATTCAGGAAACGAATAAACGTATTTGTCTCACATTCGTATTTATAGAGTGACGAATTGAACAAGTCAGTGCAAGGTAGCGAAGCTCTAAGACTGCGACTCTCAGGTTTTTACAAGTTCAAAATGTATTGCGACCACAAAGCGAATACCAACATCCTACAACTTACACAATTTTATAAACATATATAATAAATTTTTTACTTCATAGGTACTTTTATAAATAATGTATATGTTTTGACATTATAAGATAGTATGATGAACATGGACAAAACAAAGATCATGTTTAATGTCCATGTCACACCTATGCCGGTAGTTGTTGGGAGCACTATGCTCGAAGTTGTTGACGAGTACGTTTACCTGGAACAAATAGTCCGACTAGGTAAGTCCAACTTCGACCGAGAGGTCAATCGACGGATTCAACTCGGCTGGGCAGCGTTCGGGAAATTACGACATATCTTCTCGTCAAGTATACCTCATTCTCTAAAAACTAGATTGTACAACCAGTGCGTGTTGCCAGTGATGACTTACGGATCTGAGACGTGGTCCTTCACTGCTGGCCGTATGAGGACGCTCAAGGTCGCTCAGCGAGCTATGGAGAGGGCTATGCTCGGAGTTTCTCTGCGTGATAGTAAAATATCCCAGTAAAACCAGAGTGACCGACATAGCCCAACGGATTACTAAGCTGAAGTGGCAATGGGCCGGCCATATAGCTCGAAGAACCGATAACCGATGGGGAAGAAAGGTTCTCGAGTGGCAGCCTCGTACCGGTAGGCGTAGTGTAGGACGACCTCCCACTAGATGGAGTGACGACCTGGTAAGATATGCAGGAAGTCGATGGATGCAGGTGGCTCAGGACCGTGCTTTGTGGCATTACTTGGGGGAGGCCTATGTTCAGCAGTGGACTTGTGAAGGGCTGTGATTATGATGATGATGATGATGATGTAAGTAAATAGGTACTATCAGTGTATGTGTTAAGATCCACTATCGTAGACCCCCATTTTCATTTCCTGGACCCCCAAAATTTTTTTCGATGACGTAGACCCCTTGCAGGTTGTCATAGACCCCTAGGGGTCGATATAGACCACTTTGGGAATCACTGGGTTAGAGTGTAAAACACTGTCCTGTGTTAGGCCGTCGCGAACATCTCTCCCGCCGTGCAGCGTCGCGACGATTTTCTCACAGCGGTGCTGCATCCATTTCGGTAAGCGACGTTGCTTCTACTTCGGCAGCGGCACGAGTTTTCTGGTTGGCCTCTTGATTAGGCCGTTTGCTGTGCCTACCTCCACAGTGCGGATCTGTCCGTCCGCAACGGGGTAAACAGCTTCCACCCTCCCTCGTGGCCAGGTGTTATGAGGCAACTGGCCGTCAGCTATGAGGACTGGGTCGCCCACCTGGGGATTGGGACCTCGCCCATGGGCCTTCCGCCTGTTTTGAAGTTCCGGTAGATACTCTCGGAACCAACGCTGCCAGAACATGTCAGCGAGTATCTGGGAGCGTCGCCAGTATCTTTTGCTATTCATATCCTATCCATATCTATGTGCCCGTCTTGTAACTGCTATTTAGTATATCTTCAGCTTTCTTCTCTGGATCGGAGTCTGGTCTTCTCGGATTGATGATGAGAGATTCCAGCGCGAAATATTCGCGGAATTGGTCATCTATAGTTCCCTCGCTCTTGTGCAGCTTATTGGCCGCGTGGACGCGCTGATACGGGGCTTTAGTGTGTGTCCCGTGTAGCACCCATCCTAATTCTGTGAGCGAGGCGATTGGCTGGTGCGGCGGACCTCTTCGGATTTTAGTGGCTATCAGAAGTTTCCAATTGTCCTGTCCTATTAGGATCCTTGCGTTGCCGGAGTCATATATTAACTGCTCCTTTAGGTCTTTCAAGTGGTTGCACTTGGCTATGTCTGCTGCACGCACAGTCTGTGGCCACAATTTTAGGCTTGCGACCGTGCGTGCTCTGAATGACACCCTTTTGCTGTGGAGACTCTTCAGTGAAACTTTGATTCTTCGGGATTCCGGTGAATCGAGGGTAGTGTTCCCGATAGCGGTGATCTTAAACGGGTCCAACCGCCCTGTAGCTCCAATTTGTTTGGCGATCTCTTCATCCATTAGTGAAACTGTTGACCCATCATCCAGCAGTGCGTGTGTGTTTACAGCTCCCGCCGGTCCAATTACTCGCACTGGAATTATTTTTAAATAGGCTTGATGCTTTGACACAGCGAAGGTGTTAGCTACGGTTTCTTAAGGTTCTTTTTGTTTGACCTCTGTCTTCTCCTTTGTAGTATTATGGAGAAGTCGCTTGTGTGTCGCGGTGCATCCTTCTATTCCACACTTACTGGTATTGCATTTGTGTGTCTGATTTCTATAACGTAAACAGCGGAAACATAAATTATTTTGCTTTGTG